GAGAATGTTAAAATATGCTTGTGAGCACAGTGAGAAGGAGGATTCCCAGGGCAGGGCCTGCTGTAGTTCTGCTGAGAGGGTCTCCTGGGTCTCAATTACTCACTGGAGCCCTGGCTGCAGGTCTGCAGAGACCTACCTCTGATCATACAACGTAGGGGGGCCTCACCATGTGCTACAGATGCTGTTTGGACAAGATGGAGAGAGGCTGGTCTTTGAGCTGAAGACGTCTGGTTCTAAAAGATTAGCTGTAGAACAGAAACCTTGTTGGTTAAGTATTTCTGGAGAAACATTCCTTACTTCTTGCACGTTAACACCTTTAGCCATGGCAAACTGAAGGTTTTCCTGGGGTGAGAAAATGTCTCTCACAAGAAAAGCCGTGTTTAAAACCCCCTAGGGGATAGCATGGTAAGCAGAAAATAAGGAAGAAAAGTTAAAAGCATCTAAGAGTGGGGGGAAAAAGAAAGGGGGGGGAGGGGGGGAATAATATGCTTGGAAGTCAGGGTTTCGTTCTTGAAAACTAACAAATAAGGGGTGAGAAAAAGAAGTAACTAACTAGAAGGACATGGTAAAAATAGGAAATACTACAGAGAAAAAATAGAAGGAGGGGAAAGGCTATTGAAGGTTCAATGTTAATTGAAAATTGTTTTCACTAACATCAAAGGCACTCCAGCTTAGCAAACAGTTATGCAGCATTCTCTTTCTTTATACAGATGCAGAAGGAAAAATGGCAATGACATCTTGCTATGACTGAATAAAAGTGCTGGTCTGAATGCCTGCAATATAAATATTCATTAAAGGAACATACTCAAAAGGAGAAATGTTCTCCTCCCCACATGGAGGTGTCAGAGACTGGGGTCAAGAAGAAACCCCATCAGCTAGGTTTCTTATGTGGTACTGAGATTCTGTGTACAGGGAACAGCTGAATAAAAGGAAAAACAAGATTGGTCAATAGCTGTGAACAGAATGAGGAGGTTACATGCACACAAGAGAACTGTTTATCCATCTCCTAACAATGGCACAGCGGCACAGCTGCACAGTGCAATCAGTTGTGTTTCATGTACGCTGGAATGCTACAGCCTGACACACACCAACATCTACCAACTCAGGCAGTGCTGGAGTACTAATATATCTCCAATATTGCTGAAAAAAACAGGTAAGCACTTCTCCAAAGCAGATACACTCAGAAAGCAAGAAATACACAGAAGAATGGCTAGGAAACTAAACCAGCTGTCACTGTTGTCCGGAGAGTTTCTGTTGCCACATTACTAAGAAAAGCTGTCAGAAGACAGATCCTTTTATGAAGTTAGAGGAGACTGGGAATAGACAGGGGAAAAAAAATACTTACTGGCAATTTTCTGTGTTGTATCAAGAAATGTTTTCATGCTCCAGGGAGAAAGGCAAGGACTATCACTCAAAGCAGAAATAACTGTTTTGTCCTTTCATCTCTACTTCTTTTAAAGGTCAAAAAATTTCTCAAACTGAACAATTAAAAGCAACACATCAAACACACTGTGAAAGGATTGAGAATTTGTATGGAGACACATAGCAGCTGACATACTGATATAAAGCTCTTTTCATTTTATATTAAAACACAGGAAAACAGAATTCCTGTCATTTAATAAGTATTGTTTCTGCAGGCATGTCCTACTTCCACATAGTATCCAAGATCATAGAAACACAGGCCTGTTCAGGTCAAAAAGACCTCCAGAGGTCATCTAGTCCAACACACTGCTCGAAGTTGATCCAATTAGATCCAGTTGCTTGACTAATCCAGTCAAGTTATCCAAGAACGGAGATCTAATGACATATATGACAGAACTCTACACTTGGCTTTTCATAACGTTTTTCAGTACCATTTAAAGTACTGGAGGCTTTAATTCCATCACAGCACTCTTTGTCTGTTTCATATCAGAAGAAAGATTAAGAATTATTGGTCTTGAAAGTCATAATGGCAGGAGATCAATCCTCTGAGGGCTGGTAACTGAAAAACCTTAGAGGCAGAAATGACGAAGCGTTAATCAGGTCAAAAGACCTGCATTTAAATTTGCATAACTTTACCATCAAAAGCAAAAGCAGCTTCAGTTTAAAGGAAATTAAACCCTACCAGAGCACTCAGTTTCTGCTCTCAGAGTGAAGCCTCATTTTGTCTACAACTTAAAGGTTGATTCTCAAAAATACACATTACCCACAGAAAACAAAAAGGGAAAGGCTGCAGAGAAGCTGGTTGCCAGGGGACTGCTGCGAAACCGTGCCTGCTGGCTGTGACTCACAGGCGGCTACTAAAATTTATCTGCATGTCAGCAGGCCTTGCTGTGCACCCGTAACAGGGACATGGCAACTAAGACTGGTTGTTTGGGTTTAAGCACGTGGGAGACAAAATTCCTATGTGAGAACTCCCAAATCTTTTTGAATTTGTATCGCCAGTAGCACAAACAGGCAGAAAAGCTGAAAGAATTTTGGAACAAATTACTTTCACAGGTACTCCTACCTTTGCAACACGAGCTCCATTTTTACAGAGCAGCCCTTAGTGTTGCTGAAAAATAAGGATTATTTGCAAAACATGTTCTATTTAAGTTCAGGAAAATATTTTTTTGTGAAAATATACACAATATAAACCAAAAACCTACAGGCTGAAGAATCACAGAATGGTTTGGATTGGAAGGGACCTTAAAGACCACCCAGTTCCAACCCCCCTGCCATGCGCAGGGACACCTTCCACTAGAGCAGGTTGCTCAAAGCCTCATCCAGCCTGGCCTTGAACACTTCCAGGGATGGGGCATCCACAGCTTCTCTGGGCAACCTGTTCCAGTGCCTCACCACCCTCTCCGGGAAGAATTTCTTCCTGATATCCAATCTAAACCTCCCCACTTTCAATTTAAACCTGTTACCCCTTGTCCTGTCACTACAGGCCCTTGTAAAAAGTCTCCTCTCAGCTTCCTTGTAGGCCCGCAGCTTTCTTGTAGGCCCAAAGAAGAACTGGATCAGTTGACTGCATGAAGCTCTTAGAAAAGGAACTTTTGTCATTCAGTAATTCAGTTGGTATAAACACTGCCCACAGAAAACCTACAAACACCATGAGGCTATTCAGAGGGAAGAACAAAAGACTGAAGTAACAGCTCCTGCTCATCAGTGTTTAACTTCCTTATAAAAAATGCTGAATAACGTGTTCTGGGCTTGCTGTTGCAGAGTAAACTAGTGCATCTTCCCTCCTCTTTCACCTTCTTTGTCATTTCCAACCCTGTGTGCCTTTTTGACCAGTAGTGTGTCACAAGTTCATGACAAAATCTCCTCTCAAGTGAAAACAGCTAATTTAGAGCTCATCCCCATTTATGCATGCTTAATGTATTCATATTCCTTCTACAGAACAGAAGTTTACCTATTTACAGTTACATTCCCTTGAAAGTTTCTCTCTAACTGCGCTATACATTAGGCAAGCAGAAAACAAATGCGGGGGTGTTCAATGGATATTCTTCAGTATCTTTTTTACTCCCTTAATTGAGTTCTTTCTGTTCTGGTATTGCTTCATCCTGACCTCTTCCTGAACAGCTCTATACACAATGTCAGGCATAAGGTCTGTATGCAGAGAAAGCATAGCAAAGGCACCCAAATCTCACTGAGACCATGATGTTAAGTTAGAAGGCTTTTCTTCTTTGAAATTGAAAACCCAAGTGATTTGTTGTTTATTAGTTTTGTGGGGTTTGTTTTGGGTTTTGATTGTTTTTACCTTTTTTTTAAGTGAAATGAAACTTCCAAATGAAAATATCAAATATAAATTTGGTATGCCACCTATGAAAGGCAATTCCCCTAGATGGAATATGTAATTAATAAGAATTTATAAAACAAGCTGATTATAATAAATTAATACAATATTAATAAGAGTCACTTGGACGGGGAGGCTAGTACACGAGCAGCTAGTCTTGAGAAGGGCTTTTGGCAGAATGAAGCAAGACCACAGATGGTGATCGTATAACTGCATCCTAATCTGATATGCTTAGTTCAGTTCACTGAATAGAATTTAAAGAGTTATTTTCCTTGCTGTTGCAGCAGTTATACTAATAATGTTCATATTTATGCGCTGCAAGCGTTGCTGTCTCGATTGCATAATTCAGTGTCCTCAATTAGAGTCTTCGACCTAATGGCATGCTAACAGCTTTGAAAGGTTGCTGAAACAGTCACCATACAGTATACCATCAAACCAATAACTAAATCAATCTAATTAACAAATTAGGCTACATCACCTATGACCCTGGAGCTGAAAGGCTTTTTACACTGTAGATGTATATACATGCATATTTTAATATTTAACGTGTAGGTAGTCTAGAAAATAATAATGTCCTAGTGGTTAAAAAGCACCTGTAATACTGGAAATTCAAAATGCTATCATGCTGTTTCATCTGACAACTTTTAAAAGTTGCTGTAAGTCCAAGAAAAAAACAACCCAGAAACCTGTCTTTTCAGTAAAACTCCTTCAGAATTCTAGATCTTGAGAAGTATTCACTTTTCTCAAATGCACCGAGGGAAAAACTGTTGACAGAAGGGAGAAGTAGGAAGAAAAATCTTGAGCTGTTTGAAAAGGTACGTAATAATTACACTTCTGGGTTTATTACTTTAAAAGACAACCACTTTAGCTTCTGAATGACCCAACGTGACGAAGGGGTTAAGAGAATGAAGCAACCAGTGATATATTCATCACGTCACATTCCCTACTGAGGAATTGTTCTAAGGTTAGCAAGTATTGACTTCATTAACTACCAGGTATCTTTTTCTGTCATGTTCCACTGGTAACAGAAATACATGGCTGAACAGTTTTAAGACATGCTGCTGGAAAAATTCCTAGCTGACTTTCACAGAAGTCCATGCTAGTCCCTGGCCACAAAATGATACATTCAAGGCTCAGCCACAATTTTCTACTGAGAATTTGAAAAGGTGTTCCTACTTCAACCACAAAAACTATGTAAAATATGTTAGTCCTAAATACAGCGATTTGATGAAGTACTTACTTAGGCTACTCAGTTGTCTGATTATGTTCGCCAAGGAGATATTGGTGACACATTCCAATTCATTCTTGATACCTCGGGGCAGAGCTGTGTGGCACAGGTGCCTAGGGTCTATGTTTCTTTTTACCAGCGGCATTCTGAGAGGTATCACAGGACCAGCAAACCTGTAAAGGAAGGAACAAAATACTGTTATAAGTTTAATTATATTTTAAATTTAGATTAGGTCTAAAGCTAAGCTGACTAATCCTAACAGGATAAAAATACCTCCATGGTAGTGGAATTCATTGCTCTTTGAGTACAGAAACCTTTTCTCCTCTTTGCCCAATGAAACACTATTTCATTCTCTCTCTTTAAACCTTTACCTGACTCAGATGCCAGTGAAGTGACACTTAATTTTTTATGGTTCATGTTTTTTTCTTTCCCCCCCTGAAAAAAACCCAACAGCAAAATCTTTGCGGTACAAAAAACATTAAATGATTTCCTTCTTGAGGGACTACTTCCTTATTCAGGTCAGGCAAAGTCCAACAACAAATTCCCTTTATTATGGGGTCAAAGTCAAGCCAGTTGTCTATTCCACCTGAAAGGTAGATAAGATCCATTCATTATGTTACTCGCAGGAGTCACCCTTCTAGTCTAAACATCACTTCTAAATCATACCTAATCAAGGTAAGAAAAGAGAAGATGTTTCCTTTCCACCTACACTTCCACTGGCAACAAAATTCAGCTAAGAATGCATCTTCCAAATAAAAAGTCTCCTCAGTATACTTGTAGTGCAAAGTCCTCTGTGACTCAGAAATCCTACCACTCCACACCCTTACAAATCCATGTATGTTAAATTAATCAAGAGTCTTTTCAGACAGCATTAAGAATCATCCCAGGCTGTGAATCCCAGGCTTGTAATTTTCTGCACCCACGGCACTGACTGGGAAGAGTTTCCCAGGGGGCAAGTTATGCCTCTCATCTTATTAATGTTGCTTATTAAGATCTGTCTAGTAAAACTTTTCTTCATGAAAAATGGATTACCTAAAATGCTGTAATTTTTCCATCATCTCTCATGCAAAAATCCCATTTGATACACAGAGAATGGATACACCTTGTATTGACGTAACAGTCTCCCTTCCCACTCTGGAGGAGGTTGCGCTTCCTCCAGACGGCAAGGCGGTGAAGTTTTCCGCAACGCAACCTCCAGTCCTAGTCCCTCAGCTGGATAGCCTGCCACAGCTTCATCCATCCTTTGCTTAGAAGCTTCATCCCAAAACATTCCCAGGATGCAAGCTAGGGCTTTTTGTAGTGCCACAGAATGCATCTTCCCTGTATATATTCACGTGCTGTTAGCGTTACTTGGTCCAAATTAAGAGATATTTCTTGGTAAGAATAAAGTAAGGTCACAGTGGTAGAGCTGAAATTTTGCTGACCTAGAACAGCACAGTGAATGAGGAGTCAGACAACTGTAATGTCTCACAGACAGCTTGGATTTCTCCTTGCCGCTTTTCCTGAGAGTATATTCTTTCACTGAAGCCAGGGCTCGTAGCTGAGGGACCCAGGCAGGATCCTTAAGTCTACCTGAGAAACCACTTCTGTGTTTCCAGGATCTGATTAAACTACATTAATTGCATTTTAACACTATTATCTACTGTCCTTATTTTCTTGAGAGAAAAATAAAAAATCTTTAATGTTTTTGAGGGATACAGACCAATGAAAATAATTCTTCTAGTCACTGGCTTAAGGGAAAGATTATACATCTCTTAAATTTTTTTAATTTAGTTTCTCCATATTAGCAGTAAAAATTATGGAAGTGTGCATGGGGCAGGGGTAAATTGTAAGAATGGATTTTATTTTCTAGAAATATCCCGAATTTTCATAGTCCCTAAATACCTAAGTACTAAAAAGCTAGCTGCTACATAAAAGCTGAATGGAATAAGAAGTGCAAATCTGAATACTGTCTCAGAATAAAGCAATGACAAAGTGTTTATAACTAAACAGCAGCATGAAGCAAGAGATATCAAACAGGTCTTCTGCTGTCTTAGGGGTGTGCAATCCCTCTCCTCCCACTACAAGACCCTGAAGAAACCCTTAACTACAGGTTCATTATTGTGGTTCCCCAACAGAAAATTAAGGAACCGTTCTGTCACTGCCAAAGAAAGAAACAAATGATATGTGAGCAATGTTCTACAGAAGCAATTAAATATTAATTCCAGATTTAAACCCTTTCTTGATTACTGCTTTAATGATACTGTTGTATAAACAGCAGAAGAGGCACATCTTTTAAAAGAGGTCCAAACAAGAATGTAAAGAAAGGTTTTCACAGAGAAAAGTAAAAATCTACATATAAAAGAAACTGAAATAGTCCTTACTTCTAGCTATCTAATATAGATCAGGGTTAGAATGGTAAAAAAAAAAAATAAAAAAAAATCTGTTAGTAACAAGCATAAAAGCAGTTGATGGCTAGTGCACGTTTTCTTTTGTTTTATAACCAAGATGTTAGTAAGCAATGGCATTGTTGTCCCTCCTTGATTTAATACCATTCATGAATAAACTTGCTAAATGTATAGATCATAAAGCTTCAGATGCTCAAAGTGACACACTCTTTACAAATCTGTGTACAACATCAATAATTATAGTAAAAAAAAAAAAGTTAAAGTAAATTCCAGCCAACTGTTTGCTAGATTTTAAGTAACAGCATTTGAGTGTGTACTGCCCTTTACTTGTCTGATTTGTCTGTAGGATAGGGCATTCAACATAATAGCTAAAAAGATGCAGTATTGGCCCAAACATTTTCTACAACAGGCATAAAGATGCTGCATAAGCAGAGATTAAGCCTGAACTCCCTGAACCTCAAAATGTACATCTCTCAACCCAAATAAAAGTACATTTACAAAAATGGAAATTTTCTTGCTCTGACTTCTCTAGAATTTGCAGAAAATCTACGCTTTAAATTTTTTTTCTCTCCCCAAACCCCCACAAATACCATTTTCTAATACCCGAATAACGCAGTTGTGGCTGCCCACAAGATAACAAGAAAAGATAGCAGAGAAAACAGTTAAGTATGGTAAAAGGTACAGTTTTGAAACAAGAATAAACTTGGAAACAAACAACAGATGTAATTGACCCCTTCCAAATTATACATCAGCTTTGAAAACTACGCAAAGCCTGAACAGAGAGTATTTCCTTGTTTCCCACAGAAACAAGAACAAGGAGGCAATGAAGGAAAATATCACTCAAACATGCTTAGAACAAAAGAAAAGGCATTTCACACAGTGTTCAATAAACCGTGGAACTCATTGCCACAGGATAATATACACAACAAAAGTACCTGCCGGTAAGTTGCCCGCTACGGACCACATGTTCTCTGCTGTTTGTTGGAACCACTAAGGGGTCTTGACGATTCCTCCCCAGTCGTATTTAGCGATCCCAGCTCGGGGAGCCCTCACGCATGAAATGCGCGTGCAACAGCGAACAGAATTTACCCACGCAATTCTTCGCTCCTATAAAAGATGTCTCTCCTAACGCAGTTCTTACCAAGAAAGCTGAAAAACTTGGAAATCGCTCTATTTATTATGCAGCTTTAGAGCTGTGAAAGAGGAAAAAACCCCAAAAAGGCATTGTTACAACCTAGTATATCCTTTAGGTTAAAAGCCAAAAGATACGCACACACGCACCCACTCCCAGCTCCCAAACCATACATTACCCAGGCCACTCAGGCAGCAAAGGAAAAATTTATTCCTAGATCATAAAATCCTGTTACCATGTTGCTCCCACGTTAAGCCCTGGCAACTGCTGACAACCCCGAGGAGGCAGGAGGGAGAAGCAGCCTGTCAGCGCAGAAGAGGATCCCCAGGCTGAAGGGTTACACGACACCTCCTCAGAGGCCCAGAGTTCTCCTCCCGTCCAAGCTCTCCCTCCCTCGGCCCCACTCCGCCCCAGCTCAAAACTCAGGGGAAGGGAAGGCAACCCTCAAACACAAGCATCTCCTCTTCCCTACCGTCCCACACAAATCTCTGAGGCAAGCCTTAAAAGCAGCACTGGTTTACACTCAAATTAAATGGAAGTGCTTTACTCTACAGCGACCTTAAACTGAAACTCCTCTTTACAAAGAGATGCCGATCTCTTTCGCAGAGCCACTTTTGTTACAAACTCTTCTCCCTCACTTCCTCTGCATCCTTTGAAGCACTCTGGATCCTCTTGAGAGGCCAACTCTAATCTTCTTTACAAACCCCTCTGCCACTTGAGCTGCACAATGGCTGGCACAACCTCACCCCCCACACACACACGCTGCTGCGAGCACGAGTACAGAATACGAATGCGTGTACGTGATGGCTCTCCAACGTTTTCATTAATTTATCATGCTTTGATACATGATTTTTTAGGAATTAGGTAAAATGCTCCAGTGGCTTTTTCAATTAATTCCTATTACATTAAAACCTGCAGAACAGTGGCACTAGCGAAAGTTAATTAATATCTTGTTAGAAGAGCAGCCTTAACGTGCTTTGACCGCGCTTCTTTTCAAAAGGCAAGTTGTTGAGTGTACTGCAAAACCAGTAAAAGCACGTCCCTCTTCAGCTGTTGGGGGCCTTAGGGGTGACACTTCTGTCTCTGTCACCTCTCAAACACCACTGGCAGCAGCTGAGAAACCTGCTCCGGGTGCACCTGCCACCATGCCCGCGCTGCAGCCCCGGCAGGAGCAGCACTGCTCCCACTGTCCCACCTGGAAGGTGTCACGCTGCTGCTGGAGCCAAGAGACAGCCCCGGGGAGCACCGGCGCAGGGAACAGCTAACGTTCTCCCTTCAACTCGCTCCTCTTCATTAATTCAGAATTGCAAGATGTATGGACAAACGTTACATCGCTAGAAGCTTGTGAAAAGCATCGTGTCAGTTGTCACAGTAACGATTTGGGTTTTCCAGCAAATACAGTAAGGCAAGTAGGAATGGAAGCACAACATTAATGTGGGGAAAACTAATTACGTAACCTGCCCTAACTAAACTATACTTGTTTTACTTTCAGAGGACTAAGGCAGTTTCACAAATTACATGTCTTTTTTTAATGAAAGTTTACTTTTGATTAGGTTGGATTTCATCCTTACTAAACTTGACATTATTTTCTTAGCATTAATGAAAACCACTCATTTATAATCTTTATACAATACACCAACAATGCAGC